AAGGTGTAGAACAAGGCCTACAATTGTCCATCCCAGCTTTATGTATCAGATCTGTAATATACTTTTCTTGATTCACAAAGATATCACCATTAGACTTATAGTGAATTTGTAAACCCAGAAAATATGTAAGCTGACCCAAATCCTTAAGATCAAATACCCCAGCCAAATCATCTATGACAGATTGAATCAAAACAGAATTGGACCCAGTGATGATAATATCATCAACATAGAGTAACAAAATGACTACATCTGTATTCACTTCTTTAACAAACATACTGGAATCTGAGAGGGACATTTGAAACCCAAGAACAGTCAAATAGCTTGTGAATTTGGCATTCCAGGCCCGTGGAGCCTGCTTTAAACCATATAAAGACTTGACAAGTTTACAAACATGTGAAGGATGCTCAGAGTCTACGAAACCTTGAGGTTGTTTCATATAAACCTCCTCATGTAATTCCCCGTGGAGAAAAGCGTTCTTAACATCAAGTTGCCGAAGAGACCAATGATTTGTAGCTGCCAAAGCGAGAATAATCCTCACAGTGGTATGTCGAACCACAGGACTAAAGGTTTCTGTGTAATCTAAACCTTTTTCTTGACTAAAACCTTGAGCTACTAACCGAGCTTTATATCGAGAAATAGTCCCATCAGGATGTCTTTTGATTTTATATACCCACTTGCAGCCAATAATGTTCTTATCGAAAGGAGAAGGAACAAGAGTCCATGTACCTTGAGTTTGTAAAGCATCGAACTCCTCTTGCATTGCTTTCTGCCATTGAGGAATTTGGGAAGCAATTCTGAAAGTTGAAGGCTCAGAAACATCAACTATATCTGCAAGGAATGTAAACCCTCCAGAAAAATGATGACTGTCAAGTAATTCCAAGGATTGAATATGAGGAAACACTGCAGCAAGAGCACTATAATCTTTCCGAGTTATAGTACCAGTCTTCAACCGTGTCTGAATACCAGGAGGAACAGACGCAGTGGACACAGCCTCAGAGCCCACAGGAACAGACTCAGGTACTACCACGTCCAATTGGACAGGCACCACAGGGGAATGTGAGAGAGTAGCATCTAAAAAGGAATCCTGTACAATGTGTTCAGAATGAGAGTGTCTGGACAGTGGAGTACCAACTGATGTATGAGAAGATGCAGATACATGTGGACTAGCAGTACTATAGGAAGCAGGTCCTTGTCTCGGAGAAGCAGAAACTAAATTCACAACAATAGGCCTTGTAGTCACAGGGGTATTATTAAGATTCACAGAATTGACACACTGTGAGGAACCTGAAGTACTAGCAAAAGGAAAACAGTCCTCATCATGAATGACATGTCTAGAGATTAAAACCTTGCCTGTAACCGGATTATAACAAATGGCACCTTTGTATCCAAAACAATAGCCCAAAAATACACATTGAGAAGAACGAGGTTGAAGCTTATGAGCGTTGTAAGGTCTAAGATAAGGATAGATAGCCGAACCAAAAATTCTTATAGAAGAAATGTTAGGGGGCTTGTGAAACAGAAAGCTAAAAGGAGACTTCATCCCAAGATTGTGAGCTGGCATTCGATTAATCAGAAACACAGCATGCGCAACAGCATGATACCAAAACTTGAGAGGTAATTTGGCAGCATTCATCATAGTAAGAGCAGTCTCAACAATATGCCGATGCTTCCTTTCCACTAAACCATTTTGTTGGGGGGTGTAGGGGCAAGAAACAAAGTGTAAAATACCATGAGTATGAAGATAGTCCTTAAAAGCATTACTCAAGAACTCACCACCACCATCAGTTTGAAGAACTTTGACCTTACTATTAAATTGGTTCTCAACATAAGCACAAAAACGAACAAAGATACCAAAAGTTTCTGATTTATTCATGAGAGGGAAAAGCCATACAAATCGAGTAGCCTCATCTACAAATGACACATAGTATCTAAAACCCTCAAGAGAAGTAACAGGTGAAGGTCCCCAGATATCACAATGCACTTTATGAAATGGAATATCAACTCTATCTAGCTTTTCGGAAAAAGACAATTTACTCATCTTGCCACTAAGACAATCAGAACACACATGAGTAGTTACATCACTAGTTACTAAAACCTTAGAACTTTGTAACATGGATGCGAGAACGTCATTCGAAGGATGGCCCAACCGATGATGCCACAGTGAGGACTTAACAGCTTTTCCCAAAAATGCAGAAGAATAACGAACACCTGGAGACAGTAGCTTGGGGAACACATGTACAGGAATCCGAAACAAATCATTATTGCTACTCTGTCCTTGGTAAAGTACCACCCCTGTGGCCTTGTCCTGCACAAAGAAGTTTAAATCATCACAGATAAACCAACTGTGATTATCTTTGCACAACTGCTTGACAGAAAGAAGATTAACAGTCAACATTGGAACATGTAAAACATTACGAAGAAAAAGATTATTAGGGGAATTTTGAATAGTCACAGTGCCAATATTGTGAACATCCAAACCTGTCCCATTCCCCACAACAATCTTCTTATCTCCATTATAAGGTACAGCAGAGTCTAATAGAGTAATATCAGGACTCATATGATGTGAAGCTCCAGTGTCCACTATCCAACACTCACCCCCAGATGCAGATTGTGTAGGTAACTCAGGTACATTTGATGACAGAGGACCACCAGGAATGTCAGAGAACATATTAGACTGTGAAGCCTGAGTCATAAAAGCAGGAGCATGTGAAATCTCTGAAGAAGAAGCCTGCGCAGAAGTATTGCCTGTAAAACCATAAGGAAGAGGATATGCAGAAGAAGGCCCCGAAGGAGAATACTGAAAGACAGAACTTAAGTCCTGATAAGCATAATTGGCACTGAGAGAAGGAGGTGGAGGAGCTCCTTGATAGGAAAAATTTCCCCTGTGTCTACAGTCAACTGCAATATGGCCTCTCTTTCCACAAATCTGGCACTCCTGAGGTGGTTGAGTATTGTCATTTCGATACAAACAGGTGACTGCTATATGTCCTTTCCTTGAGCAAATCTGACACTCAGGAACAATCTCTTGCCTATTGGATGTATTGCCAGACCAAACATTGCCATTTCTAAACCCATTAAACTTAGATTTAAAACCTCCTGAACCTCTGCCTTTATAGCCAGTATTATGACCATAGGAACGATGGCCTTGACCACCAAAAGTATGCCCATGAGGAGGAAAATTATTGCCATGAGACCCACTAGACATCTGAGAAAAACCAGATTGCTGAGGAAAACCAGGAGGGTGTGAAAAACCAGGAGGGTGTGAAAAACCAGGAGGGTGTGAGAATCCAGGAGACTGAGACACCCCACCACTTGAAGAACCAGGAGCAACAAAACCATATCCATAATTTTGAGGAAACTGAACTGCAGACCCGGAAACACTAGAAGACCCAGAAGAACTCGTCATAGAATTACATGGAGGCAAACCAGCATTACCATACATTGCAGCCATAGTATGAACAAGAGACTGCATCCGAGTCTCAAGAGTCTTTTCAGCCCCTAACAATTGTGCCCGAAATTCCTTCAGTGTAATAGGTGTGTCTCTGGCTAGAATGACAGTTCGAATGATTTCAAAATCAGGTGGAAGACCAGTCAATGCCGCTATAACAATATCATGATCTGAGACTTTCTCACCAGCAGCAACAAGTTTGTCTTTAATAACCTTTAACCTCAACAAAAACTTGTCTACACTATCACCACCTTTCTGAATAGTATGCAACTCAGCCTTCAAATGATTAATACTAGCACTAGAAACAGCCATATATCGATCTTGTAACGCAACCCAAGCCTCATGAGAGGTTTTACACCCAACTACATGCTCCATAGCATCATCACTAAGTGTAGCAATGAGAAGGCTTAACAAAGCCATATCGGTCTTAATCCAATCCCTGTAGGCAGTATTAACATCCTTGGTAACACCTACCTCAGGAGTCACAACATATTTAGGAGGACAAACAGAATCACCCGTGAAGTGATCAAACAAATCATACCCCCGAAGTACAGAACAAAACTGGAAATTCCATTTGATGAAATTATCATCATTCAGTTTGATAGTCAACATCCCTAAAAGACTCTCCAACTTCACCGATTCAGACATGATGTGGTAAGAACACCGTAATTCCAGAAAGCCCCAAATGAACCCAAAAAAAAAAAAAACAAAACCCTAGATGAACAAGAAACTTCACAAAATCTTGAAACGAGGAAAAATCCTTCAATCAAACTGTCAAATCTTGATGAACAAAATGGTTATCGACCTTAATTCATCAAACGGCATCGGCCTTCAGAACAAATTTAATCAACTCAAAAACGCTATTATCAGCAAACAAAGCAAGTTTGGCATCGGCCTTCATCATTGCAGAAATCAAGATTGTAACAAATAGAACTATGATACTGATTCCAAAAAAAAAATTCCCAAAAATTCACCTTCACACAATTCTTGAAACAGCCAAGATTAGAGAACAACCTCGAGAAAGAGAGCAGCGGAAATTCGTCCAAGATCAATCGCGCGAGCAGAAAAGGCTCTGATACCATATTAACAGATGAAATCAATCAACAGATTTACAATTGAAGAGAGAAAGACTAAACAAGAAAGCTTGAGAAAGAAGAAGGCTCGAAAACTCTATATCTGTTTATTATCAAAATGAATCAATCTTAAGAATACAGAGAGGGAAAAAGATCTTATATATGTCCTTCTAAAACCCCTAAGCTTGTCATATAAGCTAACATAAAAGCTGTGCTGATGTGGCAATTGCCTGTGCTGATGTGGCAATTGCTAACATGTCACCTATACTCAATACATAGCTTTAGTTAAATTATTTGGTCATTTGCCAAACCTAGATGAGAAGGACCAGTTGTTTTCAGTGTCTGCATACTGGGGCCGGAGTTTTAATTTATTCCAGAAACTACTAACACTAATAATTTATCTGTATCCAATTAATGTAATGTAATGTAATCCCGCAGCTGAACCAAAAACATCAAAAACCACGGCAAAAGTCCCCCCCCTATATATATTTGCATTCGGGTTTGTGTTATCGATATCTTGAGGCCTCAAAGATTTCCCCAATACCACATACGCACACCAAAGTTCTTCAGGGCAAAACAGAGCAATTTTTATTGAATTATAGCAATGGAGGACGAAAAAATGAAGAGCAGAGAGCAGAAAATTGTGGTGGCAGTAGACGAGAGCGAAGAGAGCATGCATGCTCTCTCCTGGTGTCTGGGAAACCTCTCTTCTCAAAACGCAAACAACACTCTCGTTCTTCTCTATGTCAAACCGCAGCCTGTCCATTCCACTTTCGACGCTGCAGGTAATTGACGTTCCTTTGCAAATTACAACTAACTACATACTTTTTGGTTTCTATTTTGGACCTAATTAATCAATTTGGAATACTGAAATCGAAATATTGCTTTGGAGTTGATGTGTGTGTACTTGATTTTGCAGCATATATGTTTTCGAGCGATGTGGTTGGATGCATGGAAAAATACGGGACTGAGATGGTAAATTCAGTGATGCAAAGAGCCGAAGCTGTTTACAGAAATTTCCAGACCAATGTAATTACTGATTACTGCTATATGTGTTGTGTTCTGCAATTGTGTGTGTTTTTCAATTGATTAATTAATTAACTAATTTATGTGCTACATGCAGGCCCATATTGTGAGAGTAGTAGGCAAAGGAGACCCAAAGAATGTGATATGTAATACGGTTGAGAAACTCAAAGCTGACACTTTGGTCATGGGAAGCCATGGTTATGGTTTCTTTAAGAGGTATATATTATTAATTCATTCACATTAACTAATTATCTGATCCTTGTTTTGTTTTTAATGGTTTGTGATGGAGCTAATGAGTTACATCTGACATCTTGTTGTAAATTTGATATTTTGTTGCAGGACTATTCTTGGAAGTGTGAGTGATTATTGTGCGAAACACGTAGAATGTCCAGTGGTGATCGTGAAGAAATCCTGATCACTGAAAATGGCCCATAATCACGATCAGATTGTAAATTTACAAAAAGCATTGGATTGGGGGTGGGGTTGCGATCAAGGGAAGGGAAGAGGTATCGGATTTCATTGATGTATGCATGTGTCGACACTCAACAGATGAATCATTGAAAAAAATGAAGACGAGGAAAATTAATTATAAATAAGAAAAGAATTATGTAACTTGTACCTGCATGTCCTAAATATGTATGATCATGATTTGTGTTTAATTATGTCCTCCATCTCCATGTGCCTTGAGGTTTAGTAAGAAAAAAGATCAAACTGCTGAACAAGAATTTGATGCAAATTCTAAAGAAGCCAACTTAAATTTAAAAGGGTGGCTAATTAAGGAGCTCTGAGAATAATAATAATCAATGTGCAAACACCAGCAGGATCGATCAATTAATCAATAATTCCAGCTTCTAATGCTAATTAATCAAAATATTGCGACACCAAGATCCACAATTTCACCGGCCGGAAAGAAGCATGCACCTCAACTTCAGTTCTTAGTTTAAAACTTCAAACTAATACCAGCTGAACTTGTGAAACCAAGCAGATAGAAGATGATTATAAATTGAAAGTATGCTTGCTCCATAAGATACCACATCAAGACTACCCTCAGGTGAGATGTCTTTGAAAGAGTGGAGAAAATTTTCCTAATTATTACATCATTCACTCATATAATAGGTTATACAACACATGATCTCCAGAAAAGAATACAAGAGCCAGATGTCTTGAAAAAAAAAGTATGATTTTCATTAGCAATGTGGAAGAATATATATACACACACACACACATATACAATATATTGCTCCCCGAACCCTAAACCCTAAACATTGAAAACCCATTAGTTTTAAGAAGGATTGGAAGATTCTAACATATTTTCAAAAGGGAAAGCGTAACTTATTTTGTGTAGTAATGTGCACTCAAACCCAACTTTAAACCTTAAGCTCTAAACCCTGATACGATGGTTTGTAAACAAATTTTGATCATTATTGCTGATACCATAAATTAAACATTGAAAATCCAAGGTTGGAATTTGTTAAAAAAACGTCCAACGTCCTCAACAACCTTTGTATTAAGTTTGTATCATTTCAAATTTAAGTATTTTGATCTTGTATATCAGATTATGTTCCGTTAGGACTCTATGTATAGCCAATATACTTGTATCTATGTATACGACAATTCAAGGAATGAAAATCATCACTTCCACAATTATTTCAGCTTTTGCATGTGCGTTTCCTTTGTTGTTTTACCTGCAGCTGCGTTTCTACATGGTATCATCTCTCTCTCTGGCTTAACACCCATTTCTCGATACTGTCTCACACTCTCCGCGATGTCACCATCTTCTTCTGCTTCTCCATTCCCAGGACCTAAAATGTGGCTCGGTTTCTGAAGCTTGCTAGCTCCAACTACCTCACCTGGCTTCGTCAGATTAACCCATTTCTTATTGGATGTTGAGGACTCTTATTTAATTGAATTGGAAGAGGGTATTGTGTCCGTCTCCTCAGTATCATCAGGGACACATATAGCGGATAATAAGTAAAAGATAACAATCCTTACACCAACAAGGTGTTTTTATAGGTTCAAAACACAAAATCAAACCCTAATAGGTTTTTACGTCCAAATAGGAAAGAAAATAAACTATTAACTTAGTTTCAAAAGTATCCTTAAAGCTTAAAACGTTGTTTGGGATAGTAAAAAAATGTTTTTGGCCAAAATTGCCCTTATGTCATGAGCGAGGCTGGTGAGTCTTGATCCTTACGTTGTTCTCTTCGAAACGACATATTATAAGTTATATTACACCGATTATCATACATGTATTACACCATCCTTGCAGCTACCAATTTCTAACATTTTTCTAACAAATTTTCATTTAGTACAACTTACTACATCCACAAGCAAAAGATTAACTGTAGGACCAATTTGCTTTCGTTACGAAGGTTATGTTGTGAAACCCAGCCAATTTAAGTGAACATCAAACTTATGAAAAAGGTAAAAACATAAGTACGACTGTACAAGGATGTTAGGGTCCATGATTAATTCAAAATGATTTTTAACCGTAAAATATATAATGAACGATTAAAAAATAAGATTTTCACAAAATAAATCCGATTGGAATTCAAATCTGATTCACCAAGCAAAACTAATGGAACGTGTGAAAAAGATTTACACGAAACCCCGCCAATCTTACATATAATATATTTTAATTAATTAATTTGAGACTTACCGGTCACCACCAAAAACTTGTAGAGCGAGCGGAGAATGAATTAGAATTAGGGATCATCGCAGAGTCAATGAACTCTCATCGGAGGCCTTGATCCGATAAGCATTCGATCGTTGTAGATCCGAGCTCGACCCGACCTATTCCGTTCCGATCCGGTGTCAGCATCAGTAGCGGCAGCATGTTTCTGTTCGACTGGTTCTACGGTGTGCTCGCGTCCCTCGGTCTCTGGCAAAAAGAGGCCAAGATCTTGTTCCTCGGCCTGGATAACGCCGGCAAGACCACCTTGCTCCACATGTTGAAAGACGAGGTCGGTTCCTTCCTCCGCCCCCACTTTTCTTACTCTATCAGCTAATCTTTTTTAAATTCGTGCTTTAATTTCCTTATCGATTGGCTCCTACTTCGGATTCGGGTAATCAGAAACGTTCCGTTTACTTCAATTTTAATCTTTTGAATTCATAGATTAGATTAAATTTACTTTTCCTAAGTTGAAGACTGAGGATTGAGGAAAATAATTGGAATTTTAGGAGTTCGATTTACAAGATCTACAGTTTCCTGCCCAAAAAATCTGTAAAGGGGTTAAATTATTAAGTGTTGCAACTTTGCAATTGATCACTTAAATTTAATGGCAAATCCAAAGCAATCTACAAGGGTAGCTGAATTACAAGATTCAAGTTTATGCCAAAACATGAGCTAGAAAGTCAAAGTTGAAGCAGTTACACTAATGATTAATCCATGCTTTTTTTTTCCTTTTCGTGTTCACATTGCTATGATTGTTTTGAATATTAGGTTGCTGCAAATGGATTGTTGTCTTGCGTGGTAATAATTTGAGTTTTGTTGAACTCGTTTTCAGAGGCTGGTGCAGCATCAGCCCACGCAGTATCCAACATCGGAGGAGTTGAGCATTGGGAAAATCAAGTTCAAGGCCTTTGATTTGGGAGGCCATCAGATTGCTCGTAGAGTTTGGAGGGATTACTATGCAAAGGTTAGACATACATAAAACTTGATTAACGGCCACACTTTTGCTCCATTTTCATACCTCTGCAGAGTCCCTTTCCAATCTCTTGCGTGAACCTAAACCTGCTTGCGAGAGGTCTTTTTTCTGATCATCAATGTGGTGATAAGGCTTAATTTTCGCCATAGTTCAGAAATTCATGGTTTAATGTATGATTTCTGGTCTTCTTTTTCTTGTTCGTTGAGAAAGTCTTCTTTTTTTTTTTTCTTTTCACTTGAATTTTCTTTTTACTCCCTGTATTGGTGCAACAACTTCTTGGAAGCAACTTGTTCTTGTCGTCCTGGTTGAGTGTTGGTTTGTTGGCTCTGCTTAATACAACCAAATTGTGTATTTATGTAAATTTGATTCTAGTGAGTTGTGCCTGAAACTATAGAACCTTGTTCCTCTGACCTTTTATGGATGTTTAAGTTTGAATTTATATTTTTTATTTTATTATCGTCCAATACATGCTGTGTTTGAACTTTCATCGGCAAGGAATGTCTCCAACATGAGCTAACATATCTACACGGTTTGCTTTACAGGTAGATGCTGTGGTGTACCTGGTGGATGCCTATGACAAGGAGCGGTTTGCAGAATCAAAAAAGGAACTAGATGCGCTCCTTTCGGATGAAGCCCTAGCCACTGTCCCATTTCTAATTCTAGGGAACAAGATTGACCTACCATATGCTGCCTCAGAGGATGAGTTGCGGTATCACCTTGGGCTGACCAACTTCACCACCGGCAAGGGGAAGGTAAACCTAACAGACTCAAATGTCCGTCCATTAGAAGTATTTATGTGCAGCATTGTACGGAAAATGGGGTACGGTGATGGTTTCAAATGGCTCTCTCAATACATCAAGTAGGAGGATGTTCGACAAGGTGTACTACTCGTCGCACCTTACCTTGAAAACTTATTCGGTCCTTGTTTTATTTAGGCTCTTGGTGGGATTTCAAATTGGATCTTTGTCTTTGGATTGGTGTGGAAGGAAATATGAATGTCAATACTTTGTAAAAATTTTATTTATGACCTCAATCCTTGTCTAGTTTGTTTCTGTATTGAGCAAGAAAGTAGGATAGATATTGTGCTTGTCTTGTAAAAACTCGATAATATGAATTAGCGCATAATTATTGTGAAAAATACGAGATTTTTAAGTAAATTAAGCATAAGTGAAATGGGCCTCCGCAGCTGCTTGCATCATTATTAAGGCCCAAAGTCACTGTTTTATTAATTTTCCACGGTTAAATAAAAAAATAGAAAAAGAAAAAGGAAAATCAGCAAAATAGAAGTAAAGGATAAGTTCAAAAGTGAATCCTCCAAGGCTGAAAATCTCCTAATGTCCACACGGATTTCCACAGGAAAATGATAATCGCACACCAATTTTCTCTTTTGCTAATTTGCACGAAAATGATTTATGCTTGAGTGGCAATTAAATTAGTTGTACAGAAGTTAGTTAACAGGTTAACATAGTTACGCAGGATTGATGAATGATTAATCCCAGTGACTTGATCGTCAAAGATTCCTCCATCTGTAGGTTCATGTCTGTGACTGGTCCATGAAAATCAAGGTGGTAAAGTGTAACGCACTCCAAAATTCCAAACCCAACGACCCCATCCAAGATTCCAAATTGTATTCGTTAATTAATCGTTTGTACATATAAATATATACCAAGTCAACCATATATCCGTCACCAAGATGGAGCTGGTTAACCAACATATGAAACCTATCCTAGCTATAAGCTAAGCTAAGCTAAGCTATGAAGAATCCCACTGTATAAAATGTGAGTAAACCCCCGAGTCTGTTCGGCTCATTGTCAAATCCTAGTTTGCTTTTGAGCTCCTAATACTTACTTCATCATCATGGGCAATTCCATCTCCCACAGGAAATCCCATGCCACCGGAAAAGTCATACTATCCGACGGCTCTGTGCATGAGTTCAATAAGCCCCTCACCGTTGCCGAGCTCATGCTAGAGAACCCGCAGCAAGTTGTTGTGGAATTCGGCTCTGCTGTCTCCCAAAAAAGGGCAACCCCGTTGCCTGCAGACATGAAGCTCGACATGAAAAAGGTTTACTTGATGCTGCCAATGAAGCGAGGGAAACCACTGTCGTTGTCATCCGAAGAAGTCCGCGGTGTTCTTTTAAGTGCAAATTTGGTTTTACGATCGAGTTCGCTAACGTTTTTACCTTTGTTTGCTCGAATATGCCCGGCAGGCGATCCCGGGCATGCCTTTGTGCTGCCAAACAAGGACAAGGAATCTAGTATGGAGAGGACGTCGTCCAAGGTCGTGAGCAGGCATGTGCCGGAGTTTGATCTGCCGGAAGATTTGGACTCGAGACCGGACTATTTGAGTAGGCAGCTTTCGGGCAAGAGTACTTGGAAACCGAACTTGGATACCATTAAGGAGAAGAAGGCTGACAAGAAGTCTCATTGGTTATTTTCAACTTTGAAGTAAACTAATTAAGAAGAATGTTGTTGATTATGATTGATGTAACGTGAGATTAATTGTATGTGAAGTATGTATTAGAGCTTAAAGGTAAGAGATATATTGTCATCCAGATGGCAAAAGGGTGTAAATTTACCTGTTCGAATCATCAGCCAGTGCTGTTGTTTTCAGTTTCATTTGGATCTTGAATGAATCAGATGTGTTTTGATAATCAAAGGGTCTTACTCTTCAATCTTCATACAAGTATTGCGAGATTATTTATGTTCAATCTTTCCCATACAATACAACAAATCATTTTCAATATTTTCATTAAATTGAATTAGTGACGGGATTTAAGGAATTAATCTATACAGAGATGATGATCCTTGTAGGGAATATGAATCAAGAATAATCTAAGATATCTAGCTAGCTAAAAATGGAAGGAACAAGACGAAGATCATAAACCCAGAATCTATGAATATTAAATTACTTAATGGCCTAACAATGGCATTGGGGAGACTCGGGAAGCAATCAAGGGAAAAAAAACAGACTCACTCGTGGACCGGCCGGGATGCCGATCGGATTGTAGCCCCGTGGAATTTGTGGCAACCAAGGCTATTGGTTTGGTTTCAAAACCTTAAAACAAGGTATTATAATTATGTACAAGGTTGAAGATACCTACCTCCAAAATAAAGCAATTTTGAAGAAGAAGAAAATCTCAAACGGTATTGGCAATTAATTAAATTTATTTTGTTTCGTAAATTAAGCAAAACAAGAAGGGGTTTCATAGTTACAAACTCGATCATGAGCAACGTGTTTGTCATAACTCAAATGAAAACACTCTTAATCATCAAGGAAAGACATATCATAAGAAATCATATTGGATAACTAGTTAGTACTAATACTAATACCTTAAAATTATAAATAAAATTAAAATATATATTGTCCGACTAATCAAAATGTAGTCGGACATGAGTAATGTATTTCTAAATCGAATTGATGGCAACGAAAAAGAAGAAATGAAGGCAAACATGCCAACCTTTTGTGCCATTTATTAGTTTGCAAACTAAATAAAACTCGAACCTTAAATAGTACGTAGTATGATTAAGTTAAGGACTAGGCCATCGAGCCAACATTATCCAAAAGTCCTCTGCTGATTTCTGCCTCTCAAGCTCCTCTAGTCGCATTCTTCTCCGGAACTCTTCAATAAATTGATCGGCTTGGGCATCCACTCCGCAAGGACGACTTTCTAGTGCTGTTGTAGACAACGTTGCCCGAAATTTCTCAGCTGATTTCTTCTTCTCAAGTGCCAATGTCTTACGGAAATCCTCTATAAATTTATCCGCTTCCACATCAACTCTGCATAGACGATTATGTTCTAGTGTTGTAGGAGTAGTAGTGACTATAGTAGTAGTAGTGTTGGTTATTTTCTTATACACGTCGTCCAAACCCAAGGCTTCCTCATCAAGATGAAGCCCATCTTCCAAGACATGATGGTCATGCAGGTCCTTGTGAAGCACGTCATCTTGGTCACTTGTATTAGCTGTGGCAAAGCTACTTTGTGAACCCTCCATTTCGTCTTGCGACCTGGGCATCAAAAGGGTTGGACTTGGAGCAAGTACGAGGGTTTTTTTGTCCCTGCTGGCTCCTTCCGTGCGCGATAGCGAAAGGCTCTTTTGGGTTGACAGATGCTCTTGGTAGGGGTAGCGATTATACTGATGGCAATAGTGGAGGTGGTGGAAGAAAGGACGAGTACTAGAACAGTATTGGGTATTAAGACGGAGATTTGATGATCCCCTCACAAGGCCAAGGGGCAGTTTTGAGCGCACCGCACGCATCAAGTGCTTCCAACCCAAGCCCGTCTTAGTCTTAGACTTTGGGGATGTAAACTTGTCTGATCTAGTAATTAAGCAAGACATATCGATCACACAATCACAACACTGCTACTAGGTTATTTCTAATTTCTAATGGCCCCCGGTTTCTGCAATGGCTTTTGATTGAATGAGTTTTCTAAGTTTCTAATAACCTAGATTATGGGGTAAAAATGGAAATGGCGGTCATCAGTGTTTTCGTGAATTAATTTAATATTATGGCTAGAACTGATTTTTTGCCAATAAATTAGATTTAGAATTCGTTATTTGATTCCTTAATGTTCTCCTTAATTAATTACTACATGGTAATTGCTCTTGATTGTCTCTTTACGGTTTATTTGTTTGATTTTGAACAAGTTTAGCACAATCCATCTGAAATTAAGTGATCTCTCTCTCTCTCTCTCTCTCTCTCTCTCTCTCTCTCTACACGATAGGAGTAGGAGTAGGCGATGATATTGTGCGATAATAATTCACATATATTGCTCAGGATTCGGGAAGCGGAGGAAATAAATTACATAAGTGAATAATTTTAAACATGAAATGAGATTCATCAAAGCAGAGGATTTTTTATGTAGATTAAGTAACAGAGTGAATTGAACATCAAGTGGAAATAGATAGCAAGAAAAAAGCTTTGTAGATTTGGGGTCATGAGCCATTACTTTGAAGAGAACGGCGGCGTCATCAACCAAATTTCATGGATTTCAATGTTTATTACTTATTACGGTGTTAATATTTAAGGATGCTTTTGGTATTCTATTATTAGTTTAATCTCCTTCCTATTTGGATGTTAAGATCTTTGAGCATCTTCAACCGAGGTAGCAATTGGATAGCAAAGTTAGGTTTGTTATGCCACGTAAGAAAATGCATTTTCAAAAGCGGTAGAAACTTTTACGAGGTAAGTTGCTACTTTTTTTTTTTTTTTGGACAAACAATATTATCTTGTTCAAGTTAGTAAATTATGTCGTACAATATATTTTATTCAAAAATATTATTTGATAAAATTTAGATCCCGCAAGATAAGTTAAACTTAAGATACTAATATTTTATAGTGAAAAATAAATTTTGAAGAGTGAGTTTAAGTGAAATTTTTTTAAAGTATAAGAGTGTCAAATAAGTTAGCAAATAACACGTTTAAATAAAAGATTTCTTTAACTCCTTTGGAAATGCACTTATCAGTTTTTGTCAAGTTGCAGCTTAGCTGACACATCCCGACTCGGAATGTCCACTAGGATTTCGAATCGAACTGTGCTGGCCAACACCTGGAAGGTGACGAAGCCATAAAGTATAATGATGTGGACAATGTGAATAAATTTAAACCTAAAAGTGCCTAAGGACCAGAGTGCACTGCAAGCGGGAACGAGCCCGTTTCACATGCAACGTCAGAGCATAAGTAAAGTACAGTAGTGTGGGTAAGGATCATACCCTCAGAGGTAACCACCTATATTGAAATTCGCCACAAATGCTCGTCAATACGAACATCCAACAGCTAAAACTTGGAGGGGCGCAAAAACAAGGGTGAGTGGGCCTGAAAATAAAGTTTTTAAGAAAAACCTTTTGAAAACATTATAACCCCTTGCCGTAAAACCCGTATAATTTTCCAAAAATAATAATACATACGTATATAGAAATCATGCTCGAGACTAGTGAAAACCAAGTATATGCCATATCAAGTATCTCAGCAATGAAATAAGTAAGCCAGGTGAAATAAATCAATGTAAAATGATATGCCAGTCGGAGTCACCTAACGTGACCTGTACGACTCTAAACCTGCACACGAGTAGAAACCACCTAATGTGGTTTGTACGACAGGCTGGGTGTAAATAAATACGCTCAAGTGCTACGATCACATGAAGGCTGTGAGAAGTATCACAAGTCACTTATGAGTCGGAACCATCTAATGTGGTCTGTACGACAGGCTGACACCTGCCTTGGATCCAAGGTGAGCGTGTGGTGAGGGTGGTGAACGATCACGTGAAGGTTAGGCCCTGACCTCGGGCGGAGCACTAACACCGGGATGCAGGATAATGAGTACCAAATGCATCCAGGCATAACCATATACATCACAACCACTAACATCATAATGTACTCACATGTAGCTTACCTAGGCTCTGCAACATCATGCAACATTATACATGACTACACCAATGCATATACTAAAATATAACACAAGTATGACATGGCATTTCAATCACATTTCATTTAAAACAATTTTTGGGAAAAACGTAAAGTATACATACGTGTATATATAGAAAACCAAAAGCCCACTCACCTGGAGTCTGTGCTACAACTCCCTAGCACAACATCAAGGCGTCATGAACGATCGGCGCCTAGAACAATTATCAAATCATGTCTTAGAATTCTTATCAATAGAACATATAACTTACATGTCCTAATTGGGAAGATCCGTTCGTCGGATTCCCGATCCGTAAGTTTCTAATATCCTTAAATATTACATATTATAACGTATCAAAGTTTGGTGACGATCCAACGGTCGAACCATCGATTGCTATAATAATCAAGCGGCGGACTTTCATGGAACTATGTTCAAATGACGGAAATTCGTCAATCGGACTTCACTCATGGAATCAGAGTATTCAAATTTAACCTAGGAAGGTCAAAGGACATCTCGGCCCACGCGCCGTCACAGGTGGCGGTTGCCCGCCCCAACTTGCCGGAAAATTCAACTATTTCTAAAAATTACCAAACTAGTCATGATTCCTGGGTTCAAGGGAAGTATTTTGGTGGGTTTGATCGACGTTGATGGTTGCACGAAGAGTGGATCACCACTGTGACACCGACGGATTCACCCTCGGGAGTCCCTCTTCGTTTCAAGGCCAAAATCACTTTAATTTGAGGTGGAACTGGAAGAAGGAAGGTCGCAGACTTGGGTTTGGGTAATGGCGACGCCCAGATTGCCGAAAGAATGTCGGAATCGACGCAGGATGTCACGAACTCGAGTCGGGTCGACGGGATTGGAACCGGGTCAGGAGTGATCTCGTGCTCCTCCCCTCCTCTCCTTTTTCCTCCTTTCTCCTTTTCTGATTGGGCAGAGCCCATTTCTTTTTCCTTTTCTAATTTGTCTCACTTCTCCCTCCTTTCTCTTCTTTATACTCCATCTGCACTGACCATCCTTTGTTCCTTTTAATCTGGGCCACACACGTGGCATCCCATATTTTGCTAAAAAAATATGGAATTTTCTAGATATTAACCAATTTACTAAAATGCCCCTAACTTTAAACGTTAATAACTCCTTCATTATAACTCCAAATTGTGTTCCGTTTGCGCCCACGCGTCCGTAGCGACAAGTCCTACAAGGATACGCTAAGAAAATGAATCTTATGTGACACAACGTGGAAGTCAA